GGTCCGGTGCAGGTGCGTTTGCGCGAGTCGCAAAAGGGCTTCGTGCACGATAGGGGCTTCTGCAGCCGCGTAGTGGCTCTGGACGCGGAGGCGCGGCGCGCGGGCATCCTGCCTCGGGTTGGTGAACGGATGCCGAAGTTCACGATGTGCGACTTCGCCGCCGCCTGCCCCGGCTTGTCCCGGACCTGGCTCACGCGCGCGCTGCGGCGGTTTGGCCCACCGATCGCACGCGCGCCTTGTGCTTCCAGCCGATAACATGGATCCGCTTAGCCGGGCGCCGACTTCGACTTCTCCCTGTTCTGGCCGGCGTGGCCCGGGGATGCCCAGACTCTGGAGCGGTTTGGGCGATGGCCGCCATGGACCCCATCTCGCGATCAATCTGCGCGACCTTCACTCTGCCAGACGACGGCTACGTCGGTGCTTGCGCGGACGACGCGGGCATCGTCAGCTTCGACATCTGTGATCTAGACCTCCTGTCTGCGCTTTCTTGCGACGCGAAGCACCTCGCCAGATTGGGGCGCCAGGCCACCATGTGTGCAATGGTGTTTCTTTTTGCGCTGCGTACACCTCCCGTCGTCAATGGGCTCTCGGAGAGATCGCTAGGCGAGTCTTGGGGTAGACTCAAGATTGCCTCGCACGCGCGCTACTTAAGTCTGTCCGCGGGGCCCGACGCCGATCGAGTTCGGCAGCGGCGCGGCCCACGACAGAAGCGGTGGAGTCGCCCGCGCCAGATTCTACAGACCAGCGGCCCGCCCGACAGCGCAGTCCGCTCGCATGCCTCCCACGCGGTGTCGACACTCTCGTCCGCGACCCAATGTGCGCCTCCTCGTCGGATGGCTCGCTCGGGCCCTGGCCCTCCACTCGCTCCGCAAGCTCCCTCCCAGCTCGAATGCACGGTCTGAGCTTTTGGGTTTTGCCACGCGGTTCCCAGCGGGCGCCGTCCATTCCCTGGAGGCCATGGCCACCGTTGCGCGCGTGCGCATGGCGCTTCACACCCTCCCGGATTGGAGGCTCGCCTTGGAACGCGTGCGGAGAGCGGCGGGAGATCGCGTTGTTCACGTGGACTTCACGAAGGGGGAGTGGTCACCGCTTTGGGAGGACCCGACGACCCTTGCCCAGGACCTGGCTGAGGCGGCGGCATGGGGGCGCGGACCTGCCGCCACTTCGCGCGCGGGATCTCCAGGGCGCGCGGCAAGCGGCGCGGGATGGGCGCCAGTTGGCAGCGGTGGCCAGCGGCACGCAGGAAGTCCCACATTCAGCGCGCCATCGTACGATCCCTCTTGCCCGCCTCTGTTCCGGACTTGTGCCCGCTCCTTTCTCCACCGCAGCCTATGCGCCGAGATGAAGGAGGTTTGGGGCGAGCTTCGAGGGGAATTGGTTCAAGTGCGACGGTCCTGGCGCTGGGCTCTCCTCAAATCGGCGCGCGGCGGCTGGGCGACTCGTGGCCGAATGCACGTGCTTGGGGTTAGGGCCTCTTGCTGCGGATGCCCTGACCGACGTGCCTTCGACGACTTCCGCCACTACGTCACGTGCCCCTGCCTTGCTGGTTTCCTTTTGCCCCCCGCGATCCCGACACCTGCCGATCCGATTCAACGGTGGCCCTCGGTATTTTCTACCCTCTGGCTGGCCCGACCATCGATCGCTATTCGCGCCGCCATTCGACGAGTCGTTATGGCCTTTCACTTTTGTTGCAAAGTCAATGGCCAAGGACGCCCGTCTGCTGCCGCCCTGTCTCGCGCGTTGCAGGCCGCGGCCTTCTCGCGCCAAGAGTGACATGTCAGCGCCTTTCCCGTTCACTATGTGCTTGCTCCTCCTCCTTCTCATCTTCCTCCTCTTCCTCCTCCTCATCTTCCCATTCCATTTGTACGGTCACGGAGAGATTAGAGGAGAGCAAAAGTTCGTTCCGAGCTTTTGCTTGGCCCTCTCGCCGTCCCAGCCGCGTGGCCGATAGCGTTTCCGTATTCTTTGGTGGCTGATTCCACAGCCCGTGCCCGTTTCATGTCTGGAGGCTGGTCTCAGTGACCGCATTTGGCGATTGAGTCTTCCAGCCGTCGTCGTGGTCGACGAACCGGCGCGCCGCAGCGTATTGGCCTTGCTCCTCCTCCTCCTCTTCCTCCTCCTCCTCCTCCTCCTCCTCCTCCTCCTCCTCCTCTTGCCTCCCCTTGAGGCCTCTCGCAGCTACTTGTGTGGGTTCCTGGTAGGTCCAGCGGAATGGAGTTACACGCAGATGCAGTCAAGATCTCGCGGCTCCCTGGGGGGCTGCGAACACCGCAACGGCCGCCACTTTCTTGGGCTCCTGGGAGGTCCAGCGGAATGGAGTTGCACGCAGACGCAGTCAAGACCTCGCGCCTCCCTGGGGGGGGCTGCGTGCAGCGCAACGGTCGCCTTTCTCGTGAGCTCCTGTGAGGTCCAGCGGACTGGAGGTATTTTTTTTACAGGCGTCGAGGCAGAAATGCTGCACCGGCGGTCGGGCTCAACGGGGCTATCGAAGAGCAAATTACCCAGAGTGCAGGAGGGGAGACTGAGACAAACAGGGCGGCCGCGGAGGAGGAGGGAGGAAGTGGGCTTTCAGAGGCGGAAGACTTCCGTCCAGTGCGCTGGCGTGGCCAGCCTCGGCAGCGGGGACTGTGGCAGCTGCCGGGCCGCGGCACCGGTGCATCTACGGGCGATGACGAGGCCGAGTACGCAGAACCCAAGGGTACCTGCAGTTAGCCGTCCAGGTGAGGGCCGACTGGGTATTGTAAGTAAGGGGAAGCACAGCCGGGCCGCCCAGGTGCGTCGACGAGGCACTGCAAGTGGCAATGATCAATGTAGGTTTCAGATTGCCACCGACAAAATGCTGGGCCCGTAGGGTGAGGTGCCGGGCAGCCAAACGTGGCCCAGGAACGCCGTCACCCACGGGGGTGCTGCCAGCCGCGGCTGCAGCGTCAGCGCCATGGCAGCGCGCGGAGGGAGGGAGGGAAAAGGCGCAGGGAGGAAAAAGGGGGGAGGCAGGGAGGAGGAGCGCCCTGCCTGCAGGGAGGTTCAAGCAGGCGGGGCGTCGGTGCCAGGCGACCCACGCCAGTGGAAGCTGCCCGGTGGGGGGCCCATGCCGTGGTCACGCTGCGGCCAACCGCGCCGCGCGCCGCGCCAGGGACCACACTGGCCAGAGCCGGAGCGGGGCGGGTGTCAAAACTGCGGCCAGGGCCAACGAAGGCGTCCGTCTGGGGGAACTGCCTGCGTCAAAACTGTGGCAGAAGCCGAGGGGCCACGCGCTATCTGGGTGGACAGTACATGGCCGGTCTAGGAGCACTTAGCCGGTGCAGTAACATGTGTGAAGGATTACGGTTGAAGCCGTTGAATGCCACGCGCTGTCTGGGTGGACAGTGCGTGGCCGCTCTGGGGGCACCTAACCAGCGCAGCAACCTGTGAAAAGGAATTGAGTGCCACGCGCTGTCTGGGCGGACAGTACATGGCGGCTCTAGGGGCACCAACCAGTGCAGTAACTTGCGTGAGCGGACTGCTGCAGAAGCAGTTGAATGTCACGTGCTGTCTGCGTGGACAGCATATGGCAAGTCTATGGCCACCTAACCGGTGCAGTAACCTGTGTGACTAGGATTGGAGTTGCACGTAGATTCAGGCGGGACCTCGCGGCTCCCTGGGGGCTGCGAATTGTGCAATTGTCTCCATTTTCGTGACGGTTCCTGGGAGGTCAAGCGGAATGGAGTTGCACGCAGATCCCGAGGCTTCGCGGCTCCCTGCGTGGCCCCGAACTGCGCAACCGTCGCCATTTTCGTGGGTTCCTGGGAGGTCAAGCGGAATGGAGTTGCACGCAGACGCAGTCAAGACCTCGCGGCTTCCTGGCGGGTTGCGAACAGCGCAACGGTCGCCGCGTTCGTGGGCTTCTGGCCGGCTCAGCGGAATGGAGTTACACGCGGATCCAGTCAAGACCTCGCGGCTCCCTCGGGGGCTGCGAACAGCGCAATTGGCACAATTTTCTTGGGCTCCTGCATGGGGCGGAGTTACACGCAAGCGCTGTCAAGACCTCGCGGCTCCCAGGGGCGCTGCGAACAGCGCAACGGTCGCCAATTTCTTGGGCTCCTGGGAGGTCCAGCGGAATGGAGTTGCACGCAGACGCAGTGAAGACCTCCCGCCTCTCTGGGAAGCTGCGTGCAGCGCAACGGTCTCCACTTTCATGGGCTCCTGGGAGGTCCAGCGGGGTGGAGTTACTCGCGGATGCAGGCGGGACCTCGCGGCTCCCTCGGGGGTTGCGAAGAGCGCAAGTGCCGCACTTCTCGTTGACTCCAGGGCGGCCCAGCCGAGTGACGTCTTGCGGAGATCAGAATTCGGCCTCGCCGTCTTGGGGGCGGTGACTTGCGCGACTGTCGCCACGCTCTTGGGCTCTTGGGTCGCGCAGCAGAGTAATGTCTGACGCAGAGCAGAATGAGGCCCCGCCGTGCCTGGGGGCTGCGACCTGCGAAACTGTCGCAGCTCGCAGATCGCATCGCGATGGGGCGCCGCGCAGCGCATGGCGCTGTCCTGTGTCCATGCCGCATCGTGTTTTCAGCTGCCTCTCGACGGCGATGCGCTCGCACGTTTGCTTCGCTCGGCGCAGGGCGTTGTGCTGTGATAGCGCGCATGTCGCTGTTATGCAGTGCGAATGTATCGCACGGAGCTGTCACTCCCGCTCGTCATTTGTTCGGTGATCCCTTCCCCGAATGTTTCCACACGCATCGTCATGCGTCCTTTGTCAGCTCGTGGTCGTTTCTAGCTGATCATTGAAGTCGCACGAGTGACTCCGCGGTTGGGAGACATTCGACTGTGGCCCGGCGTTATTTGGCGAAGTGTTCAAGGGCACGGTGCGTCCTTCAATGCTTGTTTTTGTCTTGGGCGGTCCTTTCTATAGCCGCCTCATGTGTGCAAAGGGTTGGGTGCGTCCCCGGGTATTCCTTTCTCTGTTCTCTCTGTCCCTCTCGTTATGTCTTCCTTGTTCTTATCCTCGTCTCGTCTCGCCCCTGCAGGTGAGGAAAGTTTTCGACACCTTCGACGAGGACGGCAGCCAGACCATCGACAGGAGGGAGCTGAGCGTCCTGATGAGGCCTTCCACAAAGTAGCCCCGAGGAGGATGACGATCGAAAACAAATGGATGATGGGGAGGAAGAGGGTGACCAGGAGGAGGATTGATGGGGATCGAGTAGGAAAGCGGTGGAGGGGGCCCGATGAGGATGTTCCTTTTGAGGGGGCCCGGGCATGAACATCTCAAGCGCCGCACTTGCACGAAAGAGGAGGAGAATGAGGCGAACGAGGAGCATTTGGAGGCGGAGGAGAAAGAGGGGGAATTCCCGATGGAGAAAGATGGAAGGACGAACCAGTCATTGCAGTAGCAAGGGGAAGAGAACTTAATAGTAGGAGCGCGGATGATAGTATGATTAAAACCGGCAAAGAAACACATACATATGGCAAGATATGTGATTGCCAATTGTTGGTGTAATCTTGGGAGTGATACACAGAGCAAGAGTAAGGATAAGAGGGAGGGTAGGAGAAAGAGTCAATTCAGCAAGTTCGAACGAATCAGCGGGCCCCGCCGGCCCCTGCTGCCCTCCCACAGTAAAAAAGTCGGTGCTGGCACAATTGGATCGGAGTGAGGGGGCCAAGCAGACCCACACTGTCCCTGGCGCGCGTGGCTGCTGAAGAATGGTTTCGCGGTGCGGATTCTCGTTGGTGGTTTTGTCTGTCGCCCCCGCCCGGCGACCCCCTGTCGACCCACCCCGCGACCCACCCGCGAAGAGGCAACAACGTTTAAAAGGCGATTGCGGCGGGCTCGTTTTAACTAAACACGGCGCTTGTGGAGGGCTTCTTTACATTTGTTTTTGAGACACGCCAGCCGCCGTCGACCCCCCCTCCTTCACTCTTGTTCGCAACAGCGGGGGCTACGGTATTGATACTAACGCGCGCTCCCACCTGGCGAACGGAAGGCGCTCGCGCGCGCGAGTGCGGACCAGCTTCCGAGGACTTGAAGAAAAGCATTGGCCGCGCACGTCATGGAGAGGGACCCTCGGGGAAGAGGGCCCGAAGATGGGCTTGTGGGGCCAACTGGGGGAGGGGTCTGGTCTCTGCGGGCGGGCTCACAAACGCCTCAGCGAGCCGTGGGACGCATCGGATAGCTCCAAGAGGTCGCCAGACCGCCCAGTTGATTGCCAAGATCGCCGCGGAGGGCCTCAGAGGCTCCAAAGGGACCCGAGACTGTGGCATAGATGTCACCTCACGAAGAAGGAGTCTGAGCATGTCCAACAGATGTTTTGCATTTCTACGATTGTAAGTTTGTCTGTCAAAAAACTGCCAAGAGGGCCTTGGAGAGGCGGATAAGCGTGCAAATAAATCTCCGGATGCCCCCCAGGCGTTCCCAAAATGAAATTCTTGGGACGTTTTTTGGGGGGGGGTCGGACTGGGCTTGGGGCCGTCTGAACGAAACCTCAATGGCCGAGGAGAGCTCCAGAGATTCCAACATGATTCCAAGGCGGCCCCACAGAGGGCCACAAATAGCCCCGAGAGGACCCCCCGGCTAATTCAAAGCAGTCAACCGCCTAAGGGAGTCCTCCAGTGGTTTCGCTGTCTTGGGTTCTCAACTTTTCGGTTGAAGATGGCTCCAATAGGGCCTCAGAGCAGCCAACGGATGAGCACCTGAAGAGGTTTTCAGAGGGTCCCTAGGAGGGTTACCAGACGACCAGTGCCCCATGGTGCCCCCTGGAGACGTCCCTTTGCCATTTTGGCTTAAGGAGCACCGGTACAACAAGCAGCGCCATTGTGACAAGCACGACTCTGACCACGAGCACCGCTCGAAGGACCGCCAGTTCCACTCAGCAGCAACAGCACAACGCTGGAATTGTGCGGAAGACCGCCGTCAAAACATCATGGATGTTGCGGATGTTCATCCGAGGATTCGTGATGCTATGTCTTGTGCAGCCGTGTGCCAAAAACGGCCGCCACGCATGCGCCAACCCAATCGACATATTTTCAGTCGGATGGTACCACAGCATGACAGAGCGAGGGGTTCACATTCCCTTATATTTTGAATGTTCAAGACCACGCCAGATGAGAGAGCGATCTTGACTTCTCAGAGACGGGTGGCTCCAGCCCAAATCAGTATCGGTCCGTGCTTCAATGCCAGGCTGATCAGTGCTTGTGGCAACATTCTAGTACGATCGCAACTTTCACAAACTGGCAGCCTGGACAAGATTCGCGCGACCAGCTGCACTCGGGTATTGGTTATTGGGGCAATGGTGTGTGGGACAACTGCCCAAGCAGTTGGGGAGTCACGTACCGAGCTGCGTGCCAGAACATGGCAATGATCCTGGCACTGGAGATCACAAGCCTCAGCTGTGAGTATATGTACAACGGTGATGTGTGGGCACACGTTGCGGAATACACAGATTTGTCACGCAACAAGTTGGTGGCCCCTTTCTTCGATACCAATGCTATTGGCATAAGGGTCGAGATGAACGGACAAAGTCACGATTTTCTTTTCGAGAATTCGGACTTGTGCAAGTCTCTACACACGCTTGTCACGGGGATTACTGTGAAGCGATCCCCGTGTTCAAGCACCAGCGTCCGCAAACCTTTCGCCTACGCAACGGTTCAGACGTTGATCCCGCACTCGAACTTGTGGGGCATGGTGCCCAGTGGCTCACAATAGCCACTGTGACGCAGTGGCATTAAGAAGCTAAGTTTCAACGGTGCGTTCATCTAGCGTTTCGCATCAGATTTAGTGATGATGCAACGTGTTGTTGCTGCCCTGGCCCAGCTGACGGAATTGTAATATACTCCATTTCGAGCGGGGTGCACGTTTGTTCGGGTAACCAAATGTTCAACGCTTCCAAGAAACATACGGTCAGGCAGGCATCAATTCCGGTACCAATGCTGGCGCCAACCACAAGCACCCAGACGGCCACCATTGCCTCCCAGACAGCTACAAAAGCCACCAAGTCGGGCACGAGCTCCGCCACACCGATCAGCAGCACCACCACGACGATCACCAGGGCGGCCACGAGGACCACCGAGACAGGCACGAGCTCTGCCACGAGCTTCGCCACGTCAAGCACTACAGCCACCACCGAGAGTGTGCTAACCGCAATGAATGTGCTGGTGAGTCCAGTGTTGGTGGTGGAGTCCGAGGAGGGCTTTTCTGCAGGGGACGCCGTCGTGATCACTGGTAGCGGCAATTCGGAGACACGTGACATCAGGAAATCTGGATTCATTGTGCCCATCGCATCATTGGACTACGACGGATACCCAGCGGGCTCCAGTAGCATCAAGATAGGCGGTAGTTGTTCGAGCAATGCGCTATCCTTAGAGGAGCATCAAGAGTCCGATGGATTGGTTGCAGTCCTCGCTAGTGTCGCGATCGTCCTCCTCGATGCGTCTTGCTGGGCTTGGGCTGCCCGGTGAAGCGCGGCTGCCCCGGCCGTGGCAGGGGCCCAGCGCGCGACCGCCGCATGCGCGACGCGCAGATTGAGATCAGCGTGCCGGAGCTGGACGCGAAGATTGATGAGCACTCGCCAGACCAGAAGGCTGAGTTGTTGGAGACCATGAACTTCTGCTTTATCCCAGTGGAATCATTCATGAAACTGCCCCGCACACAAGCCCATCCCCGCCACCAAGTGTTGAGGGACGTTGGCTGTTGATGAACGGACCATTTCCCTGGAAGATGTGTTGGCTGGGCGGCTTGTTGCTGACGCATCAGCAGCGACCGACCGCTAACAAGAGCCAGAGATTTTCGATCTGGAGTGCAAACAATTGTGCGAGCTGCAGGACATTATATAGACAGGAGCCCGTCGATCGAGTGTTCCCCCCTGCCCCAGGATGAGTTTCTTGCTATCACTCCGACACCTCCGGGCATCCTCCCCCTTGCAGTTCGCACCTTCCTCCCCCTCCTCTTCCTCGGATTCACTCACTCACACTCAGACTCATTCAACACACTCAGATTCACTCAAAATCAGACCCACTCACCTTCATATTCACTCAGAGTCACTCACACTCAGACTCACTCATATTCAGACTTATTGGCGAGCAGATTGAGAACATGTCTCAGGCGGGGCGCTGACATCAGCATTCCCACGGAGGAGCCGCCAGGGGGTAACACACTCGCACGTTCGCGCCCAGAGTGTGGGGATGTCTCATGCGACGTGCTCGTTTGGCTGCCTAATTTCCTTTGCTGTCAGAGCAGATGGTGATGATTTCTCAGGCGAGGCGCTGGCTTCAGCACTCCCAAGGGGGAGCCGCCAGGGGGTAGGACACTCGCCCGTTCGCGCCCAGATTGAGGGGGTGTCTCAGGCGTTTTGCTTGCTTAGTGTGCCCAACATGATTTGCCTTCAGAGCACGTGGTGAGGATGTCTCAGGCGCGGCGCTGGCTTCAGCAATCCCAGGGGGAGCCGCCAGGGTGTTCTCACGAGCCCATTCGCGTTCAGATTGTGGGGACGTCTCAGGCGGTTGGCCTGCGTGGGTGCCCAAAATCTTCTGCTATCAGTCTAGACTGTGAGAATGTTCCAGGCGAGGCGCTGGATTCATCACCCCCCAGGGGGAACCGCCATAATGTTTTCACGGCCATGTTTGGGCTCAGATGTTGGGGATGTTTCAACCAGTTTGTTTGCCTGGGTGCCAAACATCATTCGTTTTCAGAGCAGGTTGTGCGGATATCTCGTGCGACACTTTGGGCTCCCAAGCGGGATCTGGCAGGGTATTTTCACGGGCCCATCCGCGCTCAGATTGTGGGGATGCCTCGAGCGGTTTGCGCGTTCTGGTGCCCAATACCCTTTGCGTTCACAGCAGATTGTGCAGGTGTCTCGAGCGAGTTGCTGGCATCAGCACCCCAAGAGGGGAGTCGCCAAAAGGTACTTCACGGGCCCATTCGCGGCTAGGTTGTGGGGTTGTCTCAGGCGGTTTGCTAATTTGGTGGCCCAGGCCTCTTGAGCGCCCCATGGCCACTGCGATATCACAATCGTAGCATGTGGGCACCTCAGGGAGGAGCCGCCAGAGAGGGGGTGACACATGCCAGGGAGGAGGATGGGATCGACTCGGCAGGAGGAAGCGTCAAGCTCCGCAGCGCAGCGTGTAGGGGACCACATGTGTTGAGTTGTAAGTTTAAAATCAAGATTTGCAGTACTTCTATCTCGCCCTTCCTGGCGGCCAAGAAAGCACCGCGGCCCCAACCATCCACTCTGGCCAGGGGCCGAACATGTAAGCCCCTCCAAATCAGCAGCGAAGCTTCCTCCCAGCCCCTCAGAAACATCCCCCCTCAATCCTTGCCCCCTACCACCCCGCACTACTATGGCGAATGCCCGCACCATGCATCGCGCGACCAGGGTCCGGTCCCCTGGAGGGAAGGGGGCACAGAGGGGGTGCGCGAGGGTGAGGCAGAGTGGGCATCGACGTCGATGCAACATACAACTCAAATTTGCAATTGGATGCCAGCGATGACAAGCAGCAACCTGAACCTGAGCGCTACAGGTTTTTCCCAGGACAGGTGGAGGAGGCTGGCAAAGAAGGTTTTGGTGATCGCTGCGGAATGAGGGCGGAGGGAAAGGAGGGGAGAGCGGAATCGCCGTCGCTTCGCTTACAAGTTTCCATCCGCCTGACCACGACAGAGGAGGAGGGAGGAAGGAGGAGGAGGAGGGAGGAGGAAGAGGAAGGACGAGGACGCAGGTGGAAGGGGAATAATGGTCGCCAGGGAGGGCGGCTTCGGACGGAGGAGGACGCAGAAGGAGAAGGAAGGAACTGTCTCTTCGCCGCCTTCTCTCCGCTGTCCTCCCGCCTGCTCCCTCTAAGGTCACGCATGTTCAGACTCACTCACACTCATACCTCATGCTCACGCTCAGACTTCCACCTATTAAAAAACCCAGCCAAACTGCGACCACTCGCTCTCAGAGACACTTACGCTAAGCTTAGTCATGCTCAGACTCACGCGCACAGACTCATTCGCACTAAGACTCGCTCATACTCAAAATCGCTCGCAGTCGGACCCACCCGCACTCAGAATCTCACACTCAGCCCACTCATTCCCACACTCTCTCGTACCAGACACTCGCAGCGGAAAGTGCCAGGAAACGAGATGCACGCAGTATGGAGATCTCCGCGTCGAGAAGTTATGGATCGATTGGGCATGTGCGCTTCAATGGCATGGCGGCGGGTGGACCATGGCGGATGATGTGGAGTTCGGGCTGATCTTGGAGAACATGTTGCCCTTCATCTGCCTCGCATGCACGGTTATTGTCAATGTTCTTTGCGAGCGTGTCCACAACCAACGGTTTTGGCGGTGCTTGGAGTGTTGGATCGCCAACAAGATGGTAATGGTGAACGGGCTAGTGCCAGCTACCGTGGAGAGGCTCCAGGTAAAAAAAACGGCGGCACTGACTCGACAAATTCTTCAAGTTGCACCGTCTACGTGCTAGACAGTTGGCACTATGCAGATGCGCAGGAGGCTATTCACATCCTGGCGCAACAGGACATCCTGGTCAAAACGCAATGGACATTGCTATCAACTTGAATGTAGTCGGCCCCCTGGACAACATGATTTGCAGCCGCCACAACTTGACAGTTGAACATGTCATGTCGCTCGCGCATGTTAGTTTTCCTCATATCCCGTCTTCCTTTGTACCTCCTTCATGACCTGTCTGCGTCCTGTCCATTCCTGCCCAGCGCAGCTAATATTGTACAAACGGCTATTGCGCCTGCTGATCACGGCAGGAGGAAGGAGGGGGAAGGGCAGAAGGAGTCCCGGGGGATCTGGGACACAGGGAGCGGGCAATCCAACAGCTCTCGGCGCGGGAGGGTGCCTGCCTGGATACAGAGAGGAGCGAATCTTACAGTCCTTGGCGTGGGAGGACGCCTGCCTTGCCTTGGTTCTGCAGGCCCTTGGCGCGGGAGGGTGCTTGCCGGTCCACCTCTTTGCTCTGCAATTTCTGTTGCTTCGGCGCACCTCAGCGCGCCTGCCCGGCGTGGCGAATCGCGCGCCCACTGACGCCATTAGGCACCGCAGCCATGAAAACAAGTATGCATAGGTGCTGTCTTGCAGCCTTGCCCGCCCTGCTTCGCAGCGACCGCGGCGACGCACTCGGCTCGGCTGTAGGCGATCTGGTTATGGTTTCGGCTTGCGCGAGCGGGCAGTTGGACGGTTTGGCCCGCGGCAGAAGGAAGCAGGCGAGGGGGGCAAGGAACGAACATTGGATTGTGTGCATTTTGTTTTTTTCAATCGGATCTGGGCTACATGCTGCCAAAGTCGGCCCTTAGATGATTTCTAGATGGCCCGAACGTGGTCCGAAATATTCCACGAAGGCCCCCAGACTGCTCCACGAGAACCCCAGAAGGCCCTTGCGGTCTCCAAGGCGGCCCCCAGAGGGCCAAGTGAGAGCCCCGAGGGGACTCCCAGCTGGCTCAAATCAGACAACGACCTCGAGAACGGTTTAGGTTCTTGCGCGGTGCTGCGGGTCCCATGTTTTGGTCGAAGATGCCTCAACGAGGGGCTCCAAGATGGCATCCTAGCTCTTCTGCGCCTCATTCTCATTCCTTCCCTCTTCGCTTCTCTCTCCTACGTCGACCCTCCTGTTTCCTTCCTTTTTGCTTCTCCCTCCCGCATCCGTCATTCCCATTCCTGTTTTCCTCCTCCCTTTGCATTCCCTCAACTTCACTCTTCCTTTGTTTCTCCTTCCTCATGTCTCTTCGCTTCTCCCTCCTCCCTCTTCCATCTTTCCTCCCTCCTCCCTCCAGTGTGCAAAAGGCCCTCTGGCACTAGTGACATCCAGCCCAGGCTCGCCAGTGTTTCTCATTGGGTTCACCGTGTTTGCGTTCTCAGAGTTCCCTGGGCGCATCGGGCGCGCATGTGTTATTGCAGTATGCTGAGTTGTGTTGCACTGGCTTGTGTTGAATGTGCAGTGGCTTGTGTGTGTGTCACATTGCACGTCTTTGCACTTTAAGGGTAGCTCTTTGGGAGATGTTATATAGAATCGGGAGTATAGCTCGCGCGCCGTTGCTTTTGGCTCAAGGCACGCGCTCCCTATTTGCCCGGACACTGCTTGTGTTCGCTATGCGCTGGCAAGATCATTACATCGATCTTGTCTTATCTTTTCCGTCCATTCCTCTTGCTGAACAGCCTCAGTACGATACCGGACGCTAGTTGCCATCCGATCCCCATGGAATCGGATGCTATTTGACTTACCATAGTCACTTTCGACTTGGTAGCGGAGCTGGCCGCACTCTCGTGTGGTCAGCTCTTGCTCTTCTTATCCTCGCGCTACACTGCGCGATCTTCGTGACCAACTACCACCCTGCGCCACCACTCCCAGTACATTTACGAGGATTTATTCAAGAGCAATAAGCAACACGAGAGGTACGACGTCTAGACAACAACATTGGTACCATATACTCTTCATCACTGCGTTACTACCAACCGCTCG